TCCCACTGTACAGAGGGAAACTGAGGCTCAGACAGGGTAAGGCCTTGCCCAAGGTCACACAGCTCCTGTATTAAAGAGTGTCCCCATCTCTAGCCCAGCCCTCTTCCTAGGGAAATCACTGCCCTCAAAGCTCTCCTACCACACTGCACTAGGTATGGAGAGTGCTTTGTGTGGCCCTCGGCGCAGTTTGGAGGCATCATCAGCATCCCACACTAGAATAGGATCTCATGCAGGAGCATGTGGTTCTCACAGTGTAGCCTGGAAGGTTCCTGGGAAAGGTGAAGTCCTTGCTGGCTGCAGCGTTTTGGGAAGGTTTCTTAGAGGCATCAAGAGGAGCTAGATGGGGGCTGGGATTATAGCTCAGGAGCAGAGCGCTTGCCTTACACCTGTGAGGCACTGGGTTCGATCCTCAGCATCACATAAAAATAAATAAAATAAATAAAGATATTGTGTCCATATTTTTAAAAATCTTAAAAAAAGAGGAGCTAGATGGGGAAGGTCCCTGCCAAGTGGGTGCTGCTGCTTGTCCACCCTGCTTCTTTCCCCACCCGGACACAGCTGCCCTGCAGTCCTTCCAGAGAGTGCCAACAGTCAGCGAGAACAGCCTTGCCCAGGCAGAACTTGCTAGGCCTGTGGGTCATGCTGCTCTGAAAAGTTTGGCTCTGGTAGCTTCCTCCCTCTGGCCCAGCTCTCAGCTGCCTGGGGCTGCAGCTCAGCCCACCCAGGCCCTGCTGCCCTCTGGGAAGGGGGCCAGATGCCCTGCAGCTCTCTTGCCCTAGAATACCCTCTGCCCCATGACCCCTTCTTTAACTCAGCTGGGCTTAGCTATCCCCTCCTCCAGGAAGTCTTTCCTGATCCCCATGGGCTGGGTTAGTACCCACCCAAAGAACTATAATGTGACCTCACATGCAATTGAAAATTTCTAGTAGCCACATTTTTCTAGCAGCTAGGCATGATGGCCGGTGCCTATAGCCCTGTAGTTCCCAAACTTGGGAAGCTGAGGTGGGAGGAGCCAGAAATTTGAGATAACAACCTGGGCTATGTAGTGAGACCCCCATCTCAAACAAAACAAAAAACAATAAAACATACACATGACTAAAATGGAACAGATAAAATTATTCCAATGATGAATAGGAAAATTATTGAGATATGTTCTTTTTTATTTTGCCACGAAATCTTCAAGATCCAGTGTATATTTTACATTTAAGCATGTTTTAGTCTGCACGCCACTTTACAGGTAGGTGCTCGACAGCCACCTGTGGCTGATGACTACCATATTGGTTAGCATAGCTCTAGAGGCAGGGAGAAGTTTGTAAGGGTTGGAGCTCAGAGAATGGCATCAGGTGGATCTGGCAGTCACATCCTGGTCCTGCCATTTACTAGCAAGGTGAACTTTGACAAGTCATTAACCCAACTGAGCCTCAGTTACTTCAGCTGTAAAAGGGATTAGCAAATTCAGTGCCAGAGAATTGTTTGGGTGATTAAACAAATGAATGTGTGCCTAGTGCCAGGCACAGAGGAAGTGCTCAGAAAACGGCAGTAAGATGAATTTTACTCTTTGATGTGCTGGGTTATTTGCCTTTCTCCCTGCTGGGTTGATTGTGAATTCAAGGGCAGAGACGCTCCAGTTCCTCTTTCCCTAGTGTCCAGGGCTTGGCTCTGTGTGACCGTTACCACTTGCTGAATGACAGATTGAGTCCTTTAACTGAGACTGCCCCTCACCCCACCTGCCCACCCAGAACAGAGTGGCTGGGAGTCCTGAAGCCACCGACTACCTCTCTGCAAGTTGCTGCTTTTCTCAGGGCCTTGATTTCCTCCTTTGAAAGGTCAAAGGGTCGCCCTGCCTGAAGTATTCGGTTGAGTCTTGACCCCACCAGCGACCTTGGGGCCCTGTGGCTGACAATTATGTGTTTCACTTTCCCAGTGGAGAGAATTACTTCCATTCATCTTTTCCTATATTCTGGACTTTTGCACCTTCAAGTTCCATCATGTAGGTTAAAATTTAAGAGGAAAGAATTTCTCCTACCTCGTAGGCAAGAGCAGAGAGGGGACAAGGGGTCCTGTCCTTTCTCATCTGGCAGTACTTACTCCTCCTGTCACAGTAGCCCAGTGACAGATGTGGGATAGGGAGAGTTTCCTCCCAATTTATAAGTGATAAAATGGGCTCAGAGAGGTCAAATAACCTGCCCAAGTAACATAGAAAGAACTGGTATAGCTGGGTACTGTGGTGAATGTCTGTAATCCCAGCAACTCAGGAGGCTAAGGTAGGAGGGTCGAAGGTTTGAAGCCAGCCTCAGCAATATAGCGAGGCTGTAAAGCAACCTAGTGAGACCCATCTCTAAATAAAAAAAAATATATAGGGCTGGGGATGTGACTCAGTGGTTAAGCATCCCTGAGTTCAATCCCTGGTACTGGGAAAAAAAAAATAACTGGTACAGGCAGGGTTAGAAGCAGAATTCACATCTAAGGAATGGAAAATCCCTTCTTTGTGGGTGGACTCCTCTTCCCTTATGTGGGCCCCTGGCATTTCTCCATGGGGAATTGAGGCTTTCAAGAGATATGGTCTTGGGTTGAATCTTGTTCCTGTGCCTCATTTTCCCTGCATAGGAAAACTGGATAATAGAAATAGAAAAATAATCATAGAAAATAACAGAAATAGAACTAATAATAATCACAGAAGAAGCTCAATTTTTGGTGTGGTCCCATTGACCGGAAGTGAATTGAGTCCTTTGGGTATAAATTCAGAATGAAGTCTGAGAACATCCTGCCTTGGTCCTGGAGTTATCCTGGGAAAGTGAGAGGCTCCTTGTGGCTGAGGAGGATGGGAATGCAGCCCTGCCCCAGGGGATGAGGGGCGTGATCCTGTCTGGGGAAGGGAGAGGGGAGGGGAACCAGGGAGAATTGAGTAGGAGGAATGGGGAGGGCCTTGGCTGTGTGGCCCAGAGCCTCCTGCCCACAGGAACTTGGGAGCCCGTGGCTGGCAAGGCCAGCCAGCAGAGGAGAGGAGAGTGAACCTGGAAACAAAATACCAGCAGGCAGGCAGTCGGGAAGCTTTCAGCAGACATGCATATGGAACAGTAAGTTCACCTGGTGTAATTCCTAAATTTGATGGATTCTTTCATTCATTTGTTTGAATAAAGGCATGTGAACTGAACTCACTCAGCAGGTACCCAAGTGACAGTGACTTGCCCAAGGCCACACTTCTGAGGGCCTGTGTGGGGCCTCCTGAGGTGCTGAATTTAAAGGCCAGGAGATAAAAAGGAGATCTTTTAAGGATGCCTGGTTCTTTGAGAGTTGGCCTGGGCCGACTGGACCATCCTCCTGTCTGGAAGGAGGGTGAGTCCTCCAGCGCTAGGAGCAGCTGGCTTCTTTCCACTCTTGCCCACGCCTGAGCCTAGTGGGCAGCAGGGAGAAGCCATGCTTGGGATACCTGATGAAGGAGTTTTTCATGTTTATCTTGGAGGGGAGAAGGCCTGCCTTGGGGTTGGAGCAAAAGGACACAATGGCTATGTTGAGTTCTCTGAGGGGTTCTGGGAAGAAGGCATAGCCTCATCTGTGGAGGCCCTGGGGTTGGGACCAGCACTTAGGGAAGGGCACCATAATGGAGCAGCCACTCTGAGAGGGAAGTGAGGAAGGAGGGAGAGCCTGTTCCTGGAGTGTGGGATGAGCAGAGCAGAAATGGATAACCCCCTGGTGAGGTTGAAATTGAGCCAACTGCAGCATGGGGGGGACAGATGGCTTTGAACATATGGATGGCTTTGAACCTCTGTGGCTCTCAGTGCTATGTTGCATAACAGTGGCCAGCACACAGTAGGTATGCAGGAATAACTGGAAGAATGAAAGAAGATATGTGTATGCCTGGGGCTGGTGTGATGGTTAGGGGGTAGGGGTCTGTGGGCTGCCAGTGTGGGCAGAAATCTTTGAGAATGTTGTGGGTTGACCCCATCTTCCCCAGGCCTTCCCCATAAACTGGGGCCCTAGGGACAGGCACATCCCACTCCTTTATTTTTGCAAACTGAAGCTGAAAGCATGGAAGCAACTTGCTAAGGGTACTTACTCAACCAGGGGCAGAGCTGGACTGCCACCCAGGACCTCTGCCCTCCAGGGTTCTCTACTTAGAGGCCCCTGCCTGTGGATTGAGTAAAGGTGGATGCCCTGGTCCAGCTGGGTTTTTGAGTTTTAACAGTGCTGGTAGACGGGAGGAGCAGGGCTTAGCTTGGTTTTGAGCCATGACCTGTGGCACAGACCCTTTGGCCATCACTTACTCCTTCCTGGAACCTGGGCGCATACCCAAGGTGCCTCCCTCCTCCACGGGAAACACACCTTTACACAGGCCCTGCCCCTACTAGTTCCCTAACGTTTAGGGTCATTGTCACCAGCTGCAAAGGCTCAGAGGATTCCCCTGATAGGGGAGGAGCACCGAGTGAGTCCCGGGCAGGTTCTTGTAGGGGAGGTGAGGGGCTCTGACTCGGGTGGGATGGGAGGCCCACTGAGGCTGAGTCACCCCTTCTGAGTCAGGGATCCTCCCCCCTTCCTCTCTCTTCCCCCTCACTCTCTCCAAGGAGCCCCCACCGGAGCTTGGCCTGGCGAGGAGGCCGGGTGGCCAGGGTCCGGGTGGAGGGACCGAGATAGCCCCGCAGTGACGGCAGGCACCAGGAGGGGGTGGCCTGGGTGCCAGGGAGGGCGGGGGACGGACGGAGAGGCGGCGGAGAGGAGGCGGAGGCAGGGGCCGGGCTGCGCGAGTGTGGAGGCAGGCGCACGGCCGCCCCTGGGCTGGGCGCGGAGGCCGGGCGGGGGCGGGCCGCGCGTCGGGCGCCGGGCCCGGGGCTGTGGGCACTGTGCCCAGCCCCCGGCGCACGCCGACCGCCGCCGCCGCCGCTGCTGCTGCAGTCGGCATCCATCAGCGGGCGGGGGTGTCGCGAACAGGCTGCTCCGCAGAGCCCGCCGCGGCCCGCGCGCCGCCCCGCCCCGCGGCCTGCCGGGCCCGAGGAGCCGAGGGGCCGCCCCTCGCCCAGCCGCCCGAGATGGGGACCCCCAGGCCCAGGTAGGCACGTGGGGGCGGGGGGCTCAGGTGGCATTGAGGTGGGGGCGCGCTCTATCTAGGCCCAGCCTCCAGTCCCGGGAATCCGGGTGCGCCCCAGAACTGAGTTTGCTGACTGTTGGTCCCCTGGCCGGTGTGGGGGTGGTCCTTGTTGTTCCTCCCGCCCTGCACCCGTCCCCCGAGGAGGTGGACTGACTGGAGGACGAGCGGTTGCTGGGTGCTGGGCTCCGGCGGTGGGCCCACTCTCTTCTGGAAGGCCACTCTTGCTGCCTCCTCCGGAGGCCCAGGGTTCTCTGGATTTCTCCTCCAGGCTTCGGCTGCTGCAGTTCTGCTATCTTGGCTGGAGGTTGGATGCTGGGGAGCTCTCGCCCTCATCCTCACCCTCAGCCTTTGGTTATAGAACCTTCCACACTCTGCACTCGGCTTCCCATCTCACCTCCTCTCCAAGTCCCCCAGAGCAGGGGGCATGTACCTTTGCCCTAGGACTTTTGTGACTCTGGCTTGGCTCTGCCCTGGTCAGCATCTGTCCCCACTGATTACAGGGAGAGGACTTGTGTCTGGTGCCAGTTGTGCCTGGCACCTACCTTCACACTTGGGGAGGTCTGGGATCCCCAAGAGGCTGGGGTCTGGGGGACTGGCAGGTGGGGGGGTGACTATAGCTACCAGAGTATTTATTGGATGCTGTGGCCATGAACTGGCACAGCTATATGGGCCAAAGTGGTCCATGGGGACTTCGAAGGACTGGACAAGGATTAGGAAGGAGTTCTGGGATGCTGGCCTCTCTCCACTCCCAGCCATGATTTGTGCTTTAGCCCAGAGCTCTGAAAAGCATTGGTGGGGAGAAAGCACCACCGTGTGTTCCCACCGTCACTCCTGGACCCACATGTCACCTCCTCTGCACCCCAAGGTGGGTGGGTAAGAGGGCTAGAATTAGGATTTCTCCAGGACTGTGTGGGGTCCAATGTGCCATATCTCCTCTCCCCCGCAGCATTTAGGAGTCTTCCAGAATCAGTAGCAGTTGGGCCAGGTAGAGAACCGAGGACCAAGACGGTGCCCTTAGAAGCTCCTGTCCCAGGCAAGGGTGTGGAGCATGGAGGCGCTGTGTGCCTGCGGCCCACCGGTGCCTCCAGATGGAGCCTGCGGCAGAGGCAGCCTGTGCCAGCCTCCTTTCTGAGCCTTTGTGGCCCAGCCAGGCTCTGCCAGCCCCAAGCAGGGATAGAGCTGGCTTCTGCTGACTGTGCTGGTCCAGAAACTGTGTACGATATTTGTGGGGTCTGGTGCATGATCACTGGGATCTCAGGGCCACCTCAAGGCAGTCCAGGAGGGTATTAGTGTTGGGGGCATTGTTCCTGTTAAAATTTTGTGGCAGTTCCCTGGGCTCAGCTCTGTGAGCTTCTTGAAGTGTTCCTTCCATAGAACTCCAATGAGAATAAGGCTGGGTCCTAAAATCCTCACTTCGTAAATATTGAAAGGTGGATGGAGGCCTAAGGAGGAAGATTGACTTGTCCAAGGTCACATAGCAGCTGAGTGGGAGAGCCAGCACTAATGTATCCAGGACTTCTGCCTCTGATCTGGGGTTCTGACAGCCTGCTTCCCTGCTGCTGTGGCTGTCCCCCACATAGACTCTGCCAGGGATTGGACTTTATAGCCTAGAGCCTGAGGCTGCCTCTTAGGAGTGGCTTCATTCTGCCCTACCAGCCGTCCCCTCACAAGGTGAGCAAGAGAGGACAGAGCTGCCTCCTAGATAATGGGCCAGGGCTGAGAGAAAGGGCAGCCAGTGGCCCTGGACCCTCTGGGACTACACAGAACCTAGAGGATGCCCTGTGCCCAGGGAGATGTTCTAGACCTGAGCCTCCAGAGGGCAGTGGAGAGGGTACATTGACAGGCTGAGACAGGAAGTACCTCTAATAGGCTCCATCTCTGTGGGCCCCTTTCTGGGTTTCTTTGCCCCAGTTGTTCAAAGGGGATGATAATCTCTACCTGGAGAGATATCAGTGATTATGCAGTCAGAGCGATGGCATACATTGGACGCTTACTGTATGTCATGCGCTGCAATACATGCTTTGCATCCTCTCACGGCAACCCCATCAGATTGCTGCTATTTTTATCAACTTTTTACAGATGAGAAACTGAGGCTCAGAGAGGTTATGTTACCTGCCTGAGGTTTCACAGCTGGAAAGTGCCGCTGTCTGAGTCCAGAGCTTCTCTATTATGACATTATACCCCGGGGCAGTGGCCTGGAAGTACCAGTTTGGTGTCCAGCAGGGCCGGGTCATTGACTGGTGGCTCAGGGCAGGTCTAGGTGGAGAGGTCTGTGTGCTGGGTCTGGTGAAGTAAGGGTGGTTCTGTGGCCTGAATACTATTGAAGTCCTGGGGGATAGAGATAGAGATACTGGCTGGGAACCCTCAGAGAGGAGCCAGCATTGGCCTGTGTTGTGGCCAGAATCCCCTTCGAGTGGGGGTATTTCAGACTGTCTGCTTCCATTGCCTCTCAGGGTAGATAGATTGGCCACTTGCCCCCTACCACATTTAGTAGGGTTTCAACCAGCAGAAATCACCTGGGTAGGAATTTGGGGGCACCAGCCAGAACTGTGAAGAGGAGGTCCCGTTGTCAGGGACCTCCTGGGTGGATGGGTGGAGGTGGGAGCAGGCTGGCACTGCTTCCTTTGTGGGCAGGAGGCTGTAGATAGAATAGTGACAGCTGGAGTTTATTGAGCACTTACTATGTGTAAGTGCTGGGCTTACACCTACAAGTCATATAGTCTTCACAAAACCTGTGAGGCAGCTATTCTTCTCATTTTATGGATTGAAGAATTGAGGCTTACGGAGGGAAAGACAAGCTCAAGGTTGCACAGCTAGGTGGTGGGGGAGGCAGCCTGGGTCAGAGCCACGTTCCTGATGACCTGCACCTTCTCAGAGGTCATATTTGGTTGTGTTCACTTTGAAACAATCACCCATTTAAATGCATTCCATTCCTCCGAGGCCTAGCTGGGAGACCTGGACATGACAGGGCAAAGATAAAGAACAAACTATTGTACCTGCTCAACATGGATTCCTGTTTTGGTGCTCAGGAAAGCCTTCAGGAAAATGGGAGCCGTGGAGCTGTGTACTGAAGGCTTAGTAGGATTTGGTAACTGTAGGGAAAGGATGCCCACTGACCCAGGTCAGAGGGGAAAAGAATCAGGATGCCTTTGAAGAAGAGTGGGTGGTGTGTGTGTGTTGGGGGGGACAGGTAGTTTAGGGGAGAGGCAGGGAAAGCAGGGAGGTGACTCAGAAGGTCAGCTTGTGTTTGCGTCTTCAATGAGGTTCTGGTCACAGCCCTCTGTGTACTAGCAGTGTGGCCTTGGGCCTCAGTTTCCTCATCTGTGAAATATGGATGAACGCACCTATCTCATAGGGACTATGCTGTGGCTGTTACATAAAGCCCCTCATACAGTGCTGTCACATCGCAGGAACTCAATAAGCATTACTCCTCTCCCCTGCCATCTCTCTTAAATGTCAGGCTGAGGTGTTTTGGCTTGATGTGAGCCTGGAGGCTCTGGGGACCTTTGTAGGGTTTTGGTCTTCAGAGAAGCATGACAGAACTGTGGTTTGGGAAGGACCTTTAGGCAGTTGTATGACCTATAATGAGGGGGTGAATTGTGACCTTGCAGAGAAGCCTTATCTAAGGGACATGGAAGGCTCAGGAGGGAAGAAGGTTAAAACTTGCACAAGATGTTCCTTGGATAGCTTGCCAGGATGTGGGAGGAGCAGGTTGGAGTGGGGAAGACCCCGGGTCAGGAATTCAGTTTGAAGCTTGCAGAGTGTGAGAAGACGGTCTGGTCTCCCTTCAGTCTTTGGGAAGATCAGGCGGCTCCTTCTTTGAGCATCTGGGGTTTTTTTTTTTCTTTTGAATTATTTCCTTTGGATAAATCCCCATCAGAGCCTCTCCATAATAGCAGCAAATTGGGACTAAATGTCCAACAATAGGAAGATGATTGAGAACGTTTTGGAACATTCACTGGATAAAATAATATGCAGTGGCGAACAGCCGCAGAAATCCTTCTCGCAGAATATGCAGCCATATCCTGGCAGAGCTCTTCTGCATCCTTTGTTCATTTCATGCTTTTATGACTGCCTGGTGACAGAGGCAGGGGTGGGGGGTTAGATGCTTACTGTGCATGAAGAGTTGAGGCTAACCTCTAATCTCGAGGTCAGGGTTTTATTCGTGGTCCTCACATTGATGATCAGCAGATGCTTATCCGGTGAATGAGTGAACCAAGCAGAGGGGAAGCGACTTGTTCAAGATCATACAAGGTATATAAGACTCAGTACCTGCCACATTCTTGCCATATTCTTCTTACTACTTGGTACAGATGTTTCTCCATTTACAGTAGAGTTGCATTCCAATAAACCTATCCTAATTTGGACACATTGTAAATTGAAAATGCATTGAATATACCTAGCCTACTGGGCAACACAGTGGACTGTTGAGTATGGGCTATCCATCCTCGTGATCAAGTGGCTGACTCGGAGCTACAGCTCGCTGCTTCTGCCCAGCATCCCAAGAGAGTATCCTATAGCGTATTGCTAGCCCAGGAAAATATCAAAGTTCAAAATTTTAAGTGTAGTTTCTACAGAAGGCATCTTGTTTTTGCATCATTATAAAGCAAAAAAAGAAAATCACGAATTGAATGTCATTAGTTAGGGACCATTTGTATGTGTGAGGGGAGTAAGATGCAGAGGTCCCAGTGAGGACTTGGGATTCGCACAGACCAGCACTTAAGTCTTATTTCTGTCCATACCAGTTGTGAGGCCTTGGCAAAACAGTTCTCCAAGCCTCAGTCTCTCCTTCTGTGATGTTGATAGTCCATGCACTGCTTTTGGAGTTGTCGTGAAGACTTCATGCATTAGGCACGTAAAACTCTTGACATGGTACATAGCACCATGGTACATGGTACATGGTACATGGTACAAAGCACCTCGAACCTTAGCTGTCATGGAAATGATGTCATAATGTGAAA